ACTCCCATAGGGTTCAGTGTTAATCACCGAGTCTCCCATAGTGTTCAGTGTTAATCACTGATACTCCCATAGGGTTCAGTGTTAATCACTGAGGCTCCCATAGGGTTCAGTGTTAATCACTGAGACTCCCATAGGGTTCAGTGTTAATCACTGAGTCTCCCATAGGGTTCAGTGTTAATCACTGAGTCTCCCATAGGGTTGTGTTAATCACTGAGTCTCCCATAGGGTTCAGTGTTAATCATTGAGTCTCCCATAGGGTTCAGTGTTAATCACTGAGACTCCCATAGGGTTCAGTGTTAATCACTGAGACTCCCATAGGGTTCAGTGTTAATCAATGAGACTTCCATAGGGTTCAGTGTTAATCACTGAGACTCCCATAGGGTTCAGTGTTAATCACTGAGACTCCCATAGGGTTCAGTGTTAATCACTGAGACTCCCATAGGGTTCAGTGTTAATCACTGAGACTCCCATAGGGTTCAGTGTTAATCACTGAGACTCCCATAGGGTTCAGTGTTAATCACTGAGACTCCCATAGGGTTCAGTGTTAATCACTGAGACTCCCATAGGGTTCAGTGTTAATCACTGAGACTCCCATAGGGTTCAGTGTTAATCAGTGAGACTCCCATAGGGTTCAGTGTTAATCACTGAGACTCCCATAGGGTTCAGTGTTAATCACTGAGACTCCCATAGGGTTCAGTGTTAATCACTGAGACTCCCATAGGGTTCAGTGTTAATCACTGAGACTCCCATAGGGTTCAGTGTTAATCACTGAGACTCCCATAGGGTTCAGTGTTAATCACTGAGACTCCCATAGGGTTCAGTGTTAATCACTGAGACTCCCATAGGGTTCAGTGTTAATCACTGAGACTCCCATAGGGTTCAGTGTTAATCAGTGAGACTCCCATAGGGTTCTGTGTTAATCACCGAGACTCCCATAGGGTTCAGTGTTAATCACTGAGACTCCCACAGGGTTCAGTGTTAATCACTGAGACTCCCACAGGGTTCAGTGTTCATCACTGAGACTCCCATAGGGTTCAGTGTTCATCACTGAGACTCCCATAGGGTTCAGTGTTAATCACTGAGACTCCCATAGGGTTCAGTGTTAATCACTGAGACTCCCATAGGGTTCAGTGTTAATCACTGAGACTCCCATAGGGTTCAGTGTTAATCACTGAGACTCCCATAGGGTTCAGTGTTAATCACTGAGACTCCCATAGGGTTCAGTGTTAATCACTGAGACTCCCAGAGGGTTCAGTGTTAATCACTGAGACTCCCATAGGGTTCAGTGTTACTCACTGAGACTCCCATAGGGTTCAGTGTTAATCACTGAGACTCCCACAGGGTTCAGTGTTAATCACTGAGACTCCCACAGGGTTCAGTGTTCATCACTGAGACTCCCATAGGGTTCAGTGTTCATCACTGAGACTCCCATAGGGTTCAGTGTTAATCACTGAGACTCCCATAGGGTTCAGTGTTAATCACTGAGACTCCCATAGGGTTCAGTGTTAATCACTGAGTCTCCCATAGGGTTCAGTGTTAATCACCGAGTCCCCCATAGGGTTCAGTGTTAATCACTGAGTCTCCCATAGGGTTCAGTGTTAATCACTGAGTCTCCCATAGGGTTCAGTGTTATTCACCGAGTCTCCCATAGGGTTCAGTGTTAATCACCGAGTCTCCCATAGGGTTCAGTGTTAATCACTGAGTCTCCCATAGGGTTCAGTGTTAATCACTGAGACTCCCATAGGGTTCAGTGTTAATCACTGAGACTCCCATAGGGTTCAGTGTTAATCACTGAGTCTCCCATAGGGCTCAGTGTTAATCACTGAGTCTCCCATAGGGTTCAGTGTTAATCACCGAGTCTCCCATAGGGTTCAATGTTAATCACTGAGTCTCCCATAGGGCTCGGTGTTAATCACTGAGTCTCCCATAGGGCGCAGTGTTAATCACTGAGTCTCCCATAGGGTTCAGTGTTAATCACTGAGTCTCCCATAGGGCGCAGTGTTAATCACTGAGTCTCCCATAGGGTTCAGTGTTAATCACTGAGTCTCCCATAGGGTTCAGTGTTAATCAGTGAGTCTCCCATAGGGTTCAGTGTTAATCACCGAGTCTCCCATAGGGTTCAGTGTTAATCACTGAGTCTCCCATAGGGTTCAGTGTTATTCACTGAGTCTCCCATAGGGTTCAGTGTTAATCACCGAGTCTCCCATAGGGTTCAGTGTTAATCACTGAGTCTCCCATAGGGTTCAGTGTTAATCACTGAGTCTCCCATAGGGCTCAGTGTTAATCACTGAGTCTCCCATAGGGCGCAGTGTTAATCACTGAGTCTCCCATAGGGCTCAGTGTTAATCACTGAGTCTCCCATAGGGCTCAGTGTTAATCACTGAGTCTCCCATAGGGCGCAGTGTTAATCACTGAGTCTCCCACAGGGTTCAATGTTAATCACTGAGTCTCCCATAGGGTTCAGTGTTAATCACCGAGTCTCCCATAGGGTTCAGTGTTAATCACTGAGTCTCCCATAGGGCTCAGTGTTAATCACTGAGTCTCCCATAGGGTTCAGTGTTAATCACTGAGACTCCCATAGGGTTCAGTGTTAATCACTGAGTCTCCCATAGGGCTCAGTGTTAATCACTGAGTCTCCCATAGGGCTCAGTGTTAATCACTGAGTCCCCCATAGGGTTCAGTGTTAATCACTGAGTCTCCCATAGGGCTCAGTGTTAATCACTGAGTCTCCCATAGGGCTCAGTGTTAATCACTGAGTCCCCCATAGGGTTCAGTGTTAATCACTGAGTCTCCCATAGGGCTCAGTGTTAATCACGGAGCCTGTGGTAGGCCTCTGCAAGAGTGAACGTTGTCCCTTTACAAACCCGGGAGGGGGGGGTTAAAGAGTCACCCCATTGGCTGATGGCGGCAACGGAGGGGTGGTTCAACCAATCAGTGCGCTGAAATGGGCTGGGGGGGCGGGGCGAGGGGCTTGAAAAGAGAGGAGGGGGGGGGGGGGTTTAAATAAATAAATAACTCCGTGCCCGCCGCCATTTTTGGTTGTTGCCTTTCAACAAAACTGAGGCGAGCAACTTGAAAAAAACCCAAAATAAAATTGAACAAAAAAACACCTCAGGGTAAATCCGAGGGCTGCCTCCTCTCCTCCTTCCTTCCCCTTCCTCCTCCTCACCTGGGAGCGAAGGTCCCGCGCGGCAGAGCGCGGTTCTCCACCCGCCTCTCTCTCCGTATCCGAATCGCCGTAGCCCGCCAGCTCCTCCATCTTTTACCTCCGGTGGTGGGCGGGGCCGGGGTGTGTGGGCGGGGCGTTGAAATACCCGGATGCTCGCGTGACGTAACGGACGCACGGAGGTGGGGTGGGGGAGGGCGTGTCTTGCGTGGCGACGTCTTGACGCACGGGGTCGACTTGGTTGCTGGTGGGATTGGTGGATGATCGCGTGACGTAATGACGCACGGAGGTGGGGCGGGGAGGGCGTGTCTGCGTGGTGACGTTTTGACGTGCGAGGAGGATTGTTGGAAGGTTTTAGGAAATGCCCGGATGCTCGCGTGACGTAATGTAGCACCAAGATGGGGGCGTATCTGCCTACCGACGTAATGACGTACGGGAAGGGTTGTCGGTTTACTGAAATGCCCGCAGGCTTGCATGACGTAACGACGCCCGTACGGCGCGTTTCTGCGTGGTGATGTCATGACGTACGGGATTGGGGTCTGCGCGGTGACGTCATTACATACTGGGGTGGGGTCGTCGATTTAATGGGCGGGGCGAGGGTGCGAGGGAGTCCCCGGATGTTAGCGTGACGTCGCGCAAAAATCACAATGGGAATGTTGAGTCGGCGCGCGTGCAGGTTAATCCGATGAGCTATGAAGCTCTTTGATCACGGATGACCAGTCACGGGGGGAGGCCAATGGGGTGGTCAGAACGTGACGCTAAATACGTCACCACAGCGCCTGTGCCAGGCTAGGTGCATGAGGAGGAGGTCACGGGGCAGACCCTGCAGGTGCCAAGGGTTGTATTGCTGTGCCAGGCTAGGTGCATGAGGAGGAGGTGAAGGGGCAGACCCTGCAGGTGCCATGGGTTGACTGCTGTGCCAGGCTAGGTGCAGGAGGATGAGGTCACCCACTCACCCACCCACTCACAAAGACAAAGATCCCCCGTATAGCCTTAACAGATTGTAGGGCAAGTGCTGTTAGCGAGCAGCACCTATAAAGGCTAGCGGCACTGTGGCACACGAGGTGGTGGGTGGCCAAGACCACGCCCATACCCACGACCTGTAGACCAGGCGAGGTAGCCAACATTTTATCAGGGTCTGGGATCGAACCCACGACCTCCTGTATACCAGGCGAGGTAGTCAACATCTCATCAGGGTCCGGGATCGAACCCACAACCTCCTGTAGACCAGGCGAGGTAGTCAACATCTCATCAGGGTCTGGGATCGAACCCACGACCTGTGTACCAGGCGAGGTAGTCAACATCTCATCAGGGTCTGGGATCGAACCCACGACCTCCTGTATACCAGGCGAGATAGTTAACATCTCATCAGGGTCTGGGATCGAACCCACGACCTGTGTACCAGGCGAGGTAGTCAACATCTCATCAGGGTCTGGGATCGAACCCACGACCTCCTGTATACCAGGCGAGATAGTTAACATCTCATCAGGGTCTGGGATCGAACCCACGACCTGTGTACCAGGCGAGGTAGTCAACATCTCATCAGGGTCTGGGATCGAACCCACGACCTCCTGTATACCAGGCGAGGTCGTCAACATCTCACATCGTCTGGGATCGAACTCACGTCCTCCTGTAGGCCAGGCGAGGTAGTTAAAATCTCATCAGGGTCTAGGATCGAACCCACGACCTCCTGTATACCAGGCGAGGTAGTAAACATCTCAGCAGGGTCTGGGTGCGAATCTTCCGGAAGACAGAAGAATATTCCAGAAGATCGCCGTAATTGATTTCTGAACGCTGACAACTCTGCTTCGAAGGATTTTTCGTAAGATCCGTAAATGGAATTCCGTAAAAAAACAACTCCAATACTTCCGGAAGAAGGAATACATTTTCCGGAAGATTGGTAGGAGCAAGCGGCAGGGGGTTTCCGACCTTCAAGAACCCTTCTGGAAAAAAGTTTTGATTTCAGACAGCATACATTAATTTTTCGTCTCCCCCCCTCCTCTTTTCAGAACAGAGATGGACTCGTCCTTCTAAATAAACTGTCAAATCGCTGCGCGTGGCGCTGACGTTTTTTGTAATAAATAAATACACCGTTTAAAAATAAATAAATTGATGCAAACCGACACACCTGATGACGACCGTTTGTGTTATGGTCGAAACGTCGTGAGAATTTTTTTGTTTTATATAAATTTTATTATTTTATTGTTTCCCTTCAACGTGACTTTACCGAAAGAGCTAAGACTATAATAACCCTTCCGGAAGTTAATTAGTTAATTCCGGAAGATCTGTAAATGGGAATTCCGTCAGAAAAAAAAACGGGAAATGAACTCTTCTGGAAGAGGGAATATTCTTCTGGAAGTTGGAATATGATTCCGGAATAAGATTGGTAAGAGGGAGGGAGTTTACGAACACAAACAAGTCTTCTGGAATTTTTATTTAAAGTTTTCGTGACTGCAGTAATTCATATTCTTAGTTCTTTCGGTAAAGTCACGTTGAAGGGAAACAACAAAATAATAAAATATATATAAAAGACAGAGGTTCTTTGTAAGCCATCTGGCTACCATGAGAGATTCGTTCATGAGGCTATCCACATATACAAGCACAGAGACAATTTCAACCGAGAAGATGGATTCTATCTTAGCAATCATTGGAAAGATTTGATAAACCATTTCAGGTCTTAATTGATTGTTCACGCTTACAGTGGCTTTCAGACAGCATACATTATAAAAAAAATTCGTCTCCCCCCTCCTCTTTTCGGAATATAGATGGACTAGTCATAAATAAACTGCCAAATCGTTGCGCGTGGCGCTAACGTTTTTTTTATAAATAAATAAATGCACCGTTTAAAAAAAAAAATATGCAAACCAACACACCTGAAGACGACCGTTTGTGTTATGATCGAAACGTCGTGAGAATTTTTATTGTTTTATATATATTTTATTATTTTGTTGTTTCCTTTCAACGTGACTTTACCGAAAGAACTAAGAATATGAATTACTGCAGTCACGAAAGCTTTAAATCAAAATGTAATATCATAACCCTTCCGGAAGTTAATTAGTTAATTCCGGAAGATCTGTAAATGGGAATTCCGTCAGAAAAAAACCCGGAAATGGACTCTTCTGGAAGAGGGAATAATCTTCTGGAAGATGGAATATGATTCCGGAATAAGATTGTTAAGAGCGAAGGGAGTTTACGAACGCAAACAAGTCTTCTGGAAGTTTTATTCCGGAAGACCGTTAGGAAGAGGCGGTTGGTGGGGCGGGGGGTTTACGAACAGGGAAACAATTCTACCAGAAACCGGAAGATGCTTCCGGAAGATGTTTATCCGAGGAGGTGCGTGGAGGAGGGGGGGGGCGGGGTTAACGAACACGAGCAACTCTTCCGGAAGAATCTTCCGGAATATTTACATCCAGGAAAAGAATCTTCTGGAAGATAGACGTGGTGAGGTTTACGAACACGAACAAATCTTCCGGAAGTCTCGCCTAGCATCTCTCGGTAAGTTACCTCGCGGTGGAATCCGATTCCCGTTGTTTAAAATAACAAACACCACGCAAACAACAACAACAACAACTTTTATTTATTGTTAGTCGACGTTAAAGACTCCAAGCGGCGGCGCTAGCGGGCTTTGTCTCGAAACGAAATTTAAAACAATTTTTTTTTTAAAACTTCCCTCAGAGAGAGAGAGGGTGGGGCCTAGTCGGTTCAGGCTTCACTCGCTCCCGGAGTTGGGGTTCCTGTAGGGTTTAATGTTAATCAGTGGGGTTCCTGTAGGGTTTAATGTTAATCAGTGGGGTTCCTGTAGGGTTTAATGTTAATCATTGGGGTTCCTGTAGGGTTAAATGTTGATCATTGGGGTTCCTGTAGGGTTTAATGTTAATCATTGGGGTTCCTGTAGGGTTTAATGTTAATCAGTGGGGTTCCTGTAGGGTTAAATGTTAATCAGTGGGGTTCAATGTTAGTGGGGTTCCTGTAGGGTTAAATGTTAATCAGTGGGGTTCCTGTAGGGTTCATTGTTAAACAGTGGGGTTCCTGTAGGGTTTAATGTTAATCAGTGGGGTTCCTGTAGGGTTTAATGTTAATCATTGTGGTTCCTGTAGGGTTTAATGTTAATCAGTGGGGTTCCTGTAGGGTTAAATGTTAATCAGTGGGGTTCAATGTTATTGGGGTTCCTTTAGGGTTAAATGTTAATCAGTGGGGTTCTTGTAGGGTTCATTGTTAAACAGTGGGGTTCCTGTAGGGTTTAATGTTAATCAGTGGGGTTCCTGTAGGGTTTAATGTTAATCAGTGGGGTTCCTGTAGGGTTAATCAGTGGGGTTTCTGTAGGGTTAAATGTTAATCAGTGAGGTTCCTGTAGGGTTAAATGTTAATCAGTGGGGTTCCTGTAGGGTTCATTGTTAATCAGTGGGGTTCCTGTAGGGTTAAATGTTAATCAATGGGGTTCCTGTAGGGTTAAATGTTAATCAGTGGGGTTCCTGTAGGGTTTAATGTTAATCAGTGGGGTTCATTGTTAATCAGTGGGGTTCCTATAGGGTTCATTGTTAATCAGTGGGGTTCCTGTAGGGTTTAATGTTAATCAGTGGGGTTCCTGTAGGGTTTAATGTTAATCAGTGGGGTTCCTGTGTTAATCACTGAGTCTCCCATAGGGTTCAGTGTTAATCAATGAGTCTCCCATAGGGTTCAGTGTTAATCACTGAGATTCCCATAGGGTTCAGTGTTAATCAATGAGTCTCCCATAGGGTTCAGTGTTAATCACTGAGTCTCCCATAGGGTTCAGTGTTAATCACTGAGACTCACATAGGGTTCAGTGTTAATCACCGAGTCTCCCATAGGGTTCAGTGTTAATCACTGAGACTCCCACAGGGTTCAGTGTTAATCACTGAGTCCCCCTTAGGGTTCAGTGTTAATCACTGAGACTCCCATAGGGTTCAGTGTTAATCACCGAGACTCCCATAGGGTTCAGTGTTAATCACTGAGACTCCCATAGGGTTCAGTGTTAATCACCGAGACTCCCATAGGGTTCAGTGTTAATCACTGAGACTCCCACAGGGTTCAGTGTTAATCACTGAGACTCCCACAGGGTTCAGTGTTAATCACCGAGACTCCCATCGGGTTCAGTGTTAATCACCGAGACTCCCATAGGGATCAGTGTTAATCACTGAGACTCCCATAGGGTTCAGTGTTAATCACTGAGACTCCCATAGGGTTCAGTGTTAATCACTGAGACTCCCATAGGGTTCAGTGTTAATCACTGAGACTCCCATAGGGTTCAGTGTTAATCACCGAGACTCCCATAGGGTTCAGTGTTAATCACCGAGACTCCCATAGGGTTCAGTGTTAATCACCGAGACTCCCACAGGGTTCAGTGTTAATCACCGAGACTCCCACAGGGTTCAGTGTTAATCACTGAGACTCCCATAGGGTTCAGTGTTAATCACTGAGACTCCCATAGGGTTCAGTGTTAATCACTGAGACTCCCACAGGGTTCAGTGTTAATCACTGAGACTCCCACAGGGTTCAGTGTTAATCACCGAGACTCCCACAGGGTTCAATGTTAATCACCGAGACTCCCATAGGGTTCAGTGTTAATCACTGAGACTCCCATAGGGTTCAGTGTTAATCACTGAGACTCCCACAGGGTTCAGTGTTAATCACTGAGACTCCCACAGGGTTCAGTGTTAATCACTGAGTCTCCCATAGGGTTCAGTGTTAATCACTGAGACTCCCACAGGGTTCATTGTTAATCACTGAGACTCCCACAGGGTTCAGTGTTAATCACTGAGACTCCCATAGGGTTCAATGTTAATCACTGAGACTCCCACAGGGTTCAGTGTTAATCACTGAGACTCCCACAGGGTTCAGTGTTAATCACTGAGTCTCCCATAGGGTTCAATGTTAATCACTGAGACTCCCACAGGGTTCAGTGTTAATCACCGAGACTCCCACAGGGTTCAGTGTTAATCACTGAGACTCCCATATGGTTCAGTGTTAATCACTGAGACTCCCACAGGGTTCAGTGTTAATCACCGAGACTCCCATAGGGTTCAGTGTTAATCACTGAGACTCCCACAGGGTTCAGTGTTAATCACTGAGACTCCCATAGGGTTCAGTGTTAATCACTGAGACTCCCACAGGGTTCAGTGTTAATCACCGAGACTCCCATAGGGTTCAGTGTTAATCACTGAGACTCCCATAGGGTTCAATGTTAATCACTGAGACTCCCATAGGGTTCAGTGTTAATCACCGAGACTCCCACAGGGTTCAGTGTTAATCACCGAGACTCCCATAGGGTTCAGTGTTAATCACTGAGACTCCCATAGGGTTCAGTGTTAATCACTGAGACTCCCATAGGGTTCAGTGTTAATCACCGAGACTCCCACAGGGTTCAGTGTTAATCACAGAGACTCCCACAGGGTTCAGTGTTAATCACTGAGACTCCCATAGGGTTCAGTGTTAATCACTGAGACTCCCACAGGGTTCAGTGTTAATCACTGAGACTCCCATAGGGTTCAGTGTTAATCACCGAGACTCCCATAGGGTTCAGTGTTAATCACTGAGACTCCCACAGGGTTCAGTGTTAATCACTGAGACTCCCATAGGGTTCAGTGTTAATCACTGAGACTCCCATAGGGTTCAGTGTTAATCACCGAGACTCCCACAGGGTTCAGTGTTAATCACAGAGACTCCCACAGGGTTCAGTGTTAATCACTGAGACTCCCATAGGGTTCAGTGTTAATCACTGAGACTCCCACAGGGTTCAGTGTTAATCACTGAGACTCCCATAGGGTTCAGTGTTAATCACCGAGACTCCCATAGGGTTCAGTGTTAATCACTGAGACTCCCACAGGGTTCAGTGTTAATCACAGACTCCCACAGGGTTCAGTGTTAATCACTGAGACTCCCACAGGGTTCAGTGTTAATCACTGAGACTCCCACAGGGTTCAGTGTTAATCACTGAGACTCCCACAGGGTTCAGTGTTAATCACTGAGACTCCCATAGGGTTCAGTGTTAATCACCGAGACTCCCACAGGGTTCAGTGTTAATCACCGAGACTCCCACAGGGTTCAGTGTTAATCACAGAGACTCCCACAGGGTTCAGTGTTAATCACTGAGACTCCCATAGGGTTCAGTGTTAATCACTGAGACTCCCACAGGGTTCAGTGTTAATCACTGAGACTCCCATAGGGTTCAGTGTTAATCACCGAGACTCCCATAGGGTTCAGTGTTAATCACTGAGACTCCCACAGGGTTCAGTGTTAATCACTGAGACTCCCATAGGGTTCAGTGTTAATCACTGAGACTCCCATAGGGTTCAGTGTTAATCACCGAGACTCCCACAGGGTTCAGTGTTAATCACAGAGACTCCCACAGGCTTCAGTGTTAATCACTGAGACTCCCATAGGGTTCAGTGTTAATCACTGAGACTCCCACAGGGTTCAGTGTTAATCACTGAGACTCCCATAGGGTTCAGTGTTAATCACCGAGACTCCCATAGGGTTCAGTGTTAATCACTGAGACTCCCACAGGGTTCAGTGTTAATCACTGAGACTCCCACAGGGTTCAGTGTTAATCACTGAGACTCCCACAGGGTTCAGTGTTAATCACTGAGACTCCCACAGGGTTCAATGTTAATCACTGAGACTCCCATAGGGTTCAGTGTTAATCACCGAGACTCCCTCCCCCCTCAGAAAATGCCCGACAGAGGCCGAACAGAGCTGACGGTCCGACGGAGGGCGCACTCTTCCGCCAAACGCAAGCGGTCTTCCTCATCCTCCTCATCCTCCTCATCCTCATCATCGTCGTCATCGTCGTCATCGTCGTCGTCATCATCGTCATCATCGTCGAAGGACAGAAAGTCGCGCAAGAGGCGGAAGGACTCCAAGGGGGCTGCCGCCTCCGGCGAGGGGAAGCGGAAAGTCGAGGGGAGACGGAGGAAGGAGGCGGCGGAGGAGGAGGAGGAGGAGAGACGGAAGAAGAAGAAGAGGAGGAAGAGGAGGAAGCTCAAGAAGGAGCTCAAGAGAGAGAAGAGGAGGAGGAGGAGGGAGCGGAGGCGATTGAAGAAGGGCAGCGGCGGTGACGTCGTCCCCGCCGCTGCCGTCCTTGGCGGTGCCGATGGCGCCGGTGGCGGTGCCGGTGGTGCCGGTGGTGCCGGTGGTGGTGGTGGCGACGATGGCGACGTGCTGCCTGGACCCAGCCTCAACGAGCAGTCACTGCCAGGTCCCCAGTTTTGAGCGCACCGCGCGGGGGAGCACTGTACGCACTGTACGCACTGTGCACACACTGTACACACCGCGTACAGTGTATACAGTACACACACTGCGCGCCATGCGCACTGTACACACTGTGCACTACACACCGCACGTACAGCGCACACTGTACACATTGCGCACACCACAGCACGCACACACTGTACACACTGTGTACAGTGTGTACAGTACGCACACCACGCGCAGTGCGCACTGCACACACTGTACACGCTGTGTGCACTGTACACACCGCGTGCACAGCGTGCACACTACGCACTGTACACACTGCGTACAGTGCGCGCACTGCACAAACGCCGACGGAGCACTGTACGTGCCCCCCCCCCCTCCCCGCACATCGGCAGGGTCAGGGTCAGGCGTCTACAGCCTCCACGCAGACCGCTACAGACCCGGCGTCCCGGGGTTCGATTCCCGCTCAAGTTTAATTTCTTCGGTGTAGCCCCTGTGAGCCATGCGGTTCTGCAGAGAACTGTTACACCACAACCAGATACAAAACTAAAATAAAGCCACACCGTCAGTGGCGATTAACCGAACCGGTCCCGGGCCTCCCCCTAGGTCGGCTCGGCCTCAAACGAGTGCCTGGTGCGGTGTGTAGTGAACATCGCTAGCACTGGGGAGACAAAGGCGGCCGGGCGCGGTGCTGGTAGCCACCCACCCCCTCTGTGTGTGCCACAGTGCCGGTAGCCTTGATAGGTGCTGCTGCTGCTGCTGCTCGTTACTAACAGCACTTGCCCCGACAGTCTGTTACAGGCTACACGGGGGAGCTTTGCTTTTATCTTTCTGTGTCTCACCAAGTCTCCATGTGTGTCTCTGTGTCTCTCTGTGGGGTGTTCCTCCCTGTGTCTCTGTGTGTGTGGTGTCTCCCCCTGTGTCTCTGTGTGTGTGGTGTCTCTGTCTGTGGTGTCTCTGTGTGTGCGTCTGTCTCCCCCTGTGTCTCTGTGTGTGTGGTGTCTCTGTGTGTGTGGTGTCTCCCCCTGTGTCTCTGTGTGTGTGGTGTCTGTGTGTGTGGTGTCTCTGTGTGTGTGGTGTCTCCCTCTGTGTCTCCGTGTGTGTGGTGTCTGTGTGTGTGTGGTGTCTCTGTGTGTGTGGTGTCTCCCTCTGTGTCTCTGTGTGTGTGGTGTCTCTGTGTGTGTGGTGTTTCTGTGTGTGTGGTGTCTCCCTCTGTGTCTCTGTGTGTGTGGTGTCTCCCCCTGTGTCTCTGTGTGTGTGGTGTCTCCCCCTGTGTCTCTGTGTGTGTGGTGTCTCTGTGTGTGCCTCTGTCTCCCCCTGTGTCTCTGTGTGTGTGTTGTCTCTGTTTGTGTGGTGTCTGTGTGTGTGTGGTGTCTCTGGGTGTCTCTGTGTGTGTGGTGTCTCTGTGTGTGTGGTGTCTCTGTGTGTGCCTCTGTCTCCCCCTGTGTCTCTCTGTGTGCCTCTGTGTGTGCCTCTGTGTGTCTGTGTGTGCTTCTGTGTCCTCCCCACGTCTCCCCCGCATCTCCTCACGTCTCCCCCACGTCTCCCTGTGTCTCCCCATGGTTCCCTGTGTCTCTTCCACGTCTCCCTGTGTCTCCCCACGTCTCCCTGTGTCTCCTCCACGTCTCCCTGTGTCTCCCCGTGTCTCCTCCACGTCTCCCTGTGTCTCCCCACGTCTCCCCACGTCTCCCTGTGTCTCCTCCACGTCTCCCTGTGTCTCCCCGTGTCTCCTCCACGTCTCCCTGTGTCTCCCCACGTCTCCCCACTTCTCCCTGTGTCTCCTCCACGTCTCCCTATGTCTCCCTGTGTCTCCTCCACGTCTCCCCACGTCTCCTCCACGTCTCCCTGTGTCTCCCCGCGTCTCCCTGTGTCTCCCCACGTCTCCCTGTGTCTCCCCACGTCTCCCTGTGTCTCCCCCACGTCTCCCTGTGTCTCCCTCGTGTCTCCCCACGTCTCCCTGTGTCTCCCCACGTCTCCCTGTGTCTCCCCGCGTCTCCCTGTGTCTCCCCACGTCTCCCTGTGTCTCCCCACGTCTCCCTGTGTCTCCCCACGTCTCCCTGTGTCTCCCCCACGTCTCCCTGTGTCTCCCTGTGTCTCCCCACGTCTCCCTGTGTCTCCCCACGTCTCCTCCACGTCTCCCTGTGTCTCCCCCACGTCTCCCTGTGTCTCCCTCGTGTCTCCCCACGTCTCCCTGTGTCTCCCCACGTCTCCCCACGTCTCCCCACGTCTCCCTGTGTCTCCCTCGTGTCTCCCCGTGTCTCCCCGCATCTCCTCCGCGTCTCCCTCGTGTCTCCCCGTGTCTCCCCCGTGTCTCCCCCGTGTCTCCCCCGTGTCTCCCCCGTGTCTCTGTCCACGTGCAGGCGTCTCCCCATGTCTCCCTCGTGTCTCCCTCGTGTCTCCCCGCGTCTCCTCCACGTCTCCCTCGTGTCTCCCTCGTGTCTCCCCCGTGTCTCCCCCGTGTCTCCCCCGTGTCTCTCCCCACGTGTCTCCCCCGTGTCTCTGTCCACGTGCAGGCGTCTCCCCGTGTCTCCCCCCCCGTGTCTCCCCCGCGTCTCCCCCCGTGACGTCTCCCCCCCCCGCGTAGACCCTCCCACGGGGCCACGCGTCTCCGTGAGGCCTCTGACCCAGGCCCAGTACCAGAAGCTGCAGAACCACGTGCGGAGAGAGACCGACCCCACCACCGGACGCACACGGTAACCACGGCAACCCCCACATTAAGGGAGGTGGGGGACGAGAATGGTAACCACGGCAACCCCCACGCGGTGGGGGGTGGGGGGTGGGCACGGTAACCACGGCAACCCCTTCATGATAGGGGGGTGGGGGGAGGGGGCACGGTAACCACAGCAACCCCCACGCGGTGGGGGGGTGGGGGGGGGCACGGTAACCGCGGCAACCCCTTCACGATGGGGGGGTGGGGGGGGGCACGGTAACCGCGGCAACCCCTTCACGATGGGGGGGTGGGGGGAGGGGGCACGGTAACCACGGCAACCCCCACGGGGTGGGGGGGTGGGGCACGGGCACAGTAACCGCGGCAACCCCTTCAAGATGGGGGGGGGGGGGTGGAGATGGGGGGACAGGCACTGTAACCATGGCAACCCCCTCACGATAGGAGGTGGGGGCACGGTAACCACGGCAACCCCCTCACGATGGGGGTGGAGAGGGGGGAGGACAGGCACTGTAACCATGGCAACTCCCTCACGATAGGGGGTGGGGGCACGGTAACCACGGCAACCCCCTCATTAAGGGAGGTGGGGGACGAGAATGGTAACCACGGCAACCCCCTCACGATGGGGGGTGGTTCACCGTAACCACGGCAACCCCGTAGTTACCGGGGCTGCTGCTGCTCGCTACTAACAGCACTTGCCCCTACAGCCCTGCTAGAGGCTACCTGGGGGAGCTTTGTCTGTGTGTGGTGTGTGTAGTACATAGACACTGCTGCTGCTACTCGCTAGCTAACAGCACTTGCCCCTACAGCCCTGCTAGAGGCTACCTGGGGTAGCTTTGTCTGTACGTGGTGTGTGTAGTACATAGACACTGCTGCTGCTACTCGCTAGCTCACAGCACTTGCCCCTACAGCCCTGCTAGAGGCTACCTGGGGGAGCTTTGTCTGTGTGTGGTGTGTGTAGTACATAGACACTGCTGCTGCTACTCGCTAGCTAACAGCACTTGCCCCTACAGCCTGCTGGAGGCTATGCGGGGGACATTTGTATCTTTGTGGCGAACGTGTGTTGAACGTGTGTTTGAACGTCTGTTCAACGTCTGTTTGAACGTCGTTTGAACGTCTGTTTGAACGTCTGTTGAACTTCTGTTGAACGTCTGTTGAACATATGTTTGAACGTCTGTTGAACATATGTTTGAACGTGTGTTGAACGTGTGTTGAACGTCTGTTGAACATACGTTTGAACGTGTGTGAACGTCTGTTGAACGTTTGTTTGAACGTCTGTTGAACGCCTGTTCAACGTCTGTTTGAACGTCGTTTGAACGTCTGTTTGAAAGTCTGTTGAACGTCTGTTGAACGTCTGTTGAACGTCTGTTTGAACGGCTGTTGAACATCTGTTGAACGTGTGTTGAACGTGTGTTGAACGTCTGTTGAACGTGTGTTGAACGTGTGTTGAACGTCTGTTGAACGTGTGTTGAACGTGTGTTGAACGTCTGTTGAACGTCTGTTGAACGTCTTTTTGAACGTCTGTTGAACGTCTGTTGAACGTGTTGAACATCTGTTTGAACGTCTGTTTGAACGTCTGTTGAACATCTGTTTGATCGTGTGTTTGAACGGATGTTGAACGTCTGTTGAACGTGTGTTGAACATCTGTTTGAATGTGTGTTGAACGTGTTTGAACGTCTGTTTGAACGTGTGTTTGAACGTCTGTTGAACATCTGTTTGAACGTGTGTTTGAACGGCTGTTGAACGTCTGTTGAACGTCTGTTGAACATCTGTTTGAACGTCTGTTTGAACGTGTGTTTGAACGGCTGTTGAACGTCTGTTGAACGTCTGTTGAACATCTGTTTGAACGTCTGTTTGAACGTGTGTTTGAACGTCTATTGAACATCTGTTTGAACGTGTGTTTGAACGGCTGTTGAACTTCTGTTGAACGTCTGTTGAACGTCTTTTTGAACGTCTGTTGAACGTCTGTTGAATGTCTGTTTGAACGTGTGTTTGAACGGCTGTTGAACGTCTGTTGAACGTGTGTTGAACATCTGTTTGAACGTGTGTTGAACGTCTGTTTGAACGTCTGTGAAACGTCAGTTGAACGTCTGTTGAACATATGTTTGAACGTCTGTTGAACATATGTTTGAACGTGTGTTGAACGTGTGTTGAACGTCTGTTGAACGTGTGTTGAACGTGTGTTGAACGTCTGTTGAACGTGTGTTGAACGTGTGTTGAACGTCTGTTGAACGTCTGTTGAACGTCTGTTGAACGTCTTTTTGAACGTCTGTTGAACGTCTGTTGAACGTGTTGAACATCTGTTTGAACGTCTGTTTGAACGTCTGTTGAACATCTGTTTGATCGTGTGTTTGAACGGATGTTGAACGTCTGTTGAACGTGTGTTGAACATCTGTTTGAATGTGTGTTGAACGTGTTTGAACGTCTGTTTGAACGTGTGTTTGAACGTCTGTTGAACATCTGTTTGAACGTGTGTTTGAACGGCTGTTGAACGTCTGTTGAACGTCTGTTGAACATCTGTTTGAACGTCTGTTTGAACGTGTGTTTGAACGTCTATTGAACATCTGTTTGAACGTGTGTTTGAACGGCTGTTGAACTTCTGTTGAACGTCTGTTGAACGTCTTTTTGAACGTCTGTTGAACGTCTGTTGAATGTCTGTTTGAACGTGTGTTTGAACGGCTGTTGAACGTCTGTTGAACGTGTGTTGAACATCTGTTTGAACGTGTGTTGAACGTCTGTTTGAACGTCTGTGAAACGTCAGTTGAACGTCTGTTGAACATATGTTTGAACGTCTGTTGAACATATGTTTGAACGTGTGTTGAACGTGTGTTGAACGTCTGTTGAACGTGTGTTGAACGTGTGTTGAACGTCTGTTGAACGTGTGTTGAACGTGTGTTGAACGTCTGTTGAACGTCTGTTGACGTCTGTTGAACGTCTTTTTGAACGTCTGTTGAACGTCTGTTGAACGTGTTGAACATCTGTTTGAACGTCTGTTTGAACGTCTGTTGAACATCTGTTTGATCGTGTGTTTGAACGGATGTTGAACGTCTGTTGAACGTGTGTTGAACATCTGTTTGAATGTGTGTTGAACGTGTTTGAACGTCTGTTTGAACGTGTGTTTGAACGTCTGTTGAACATCTGTTTGAACGTGTGTTTGAACGGCTGTTGAACGTCTGTTGAACGTCTGTTGAACATCTGTTTGAACGTCTGTTTGAACGTGTGTTTGAACGGCTGTTGAACGTCTGTTGAACGTCTGTTGAACATCTGTTTGAACGTCTGTTTGAACGTGTGTTTGAACGTCTGTTGAACATCTGTTTGAACGTGTGTTTGAACGGCTGTTGAACTTCTGTTGAACGTCTGTTGAACGTCTTTTTGAACGTCTGTTGAACGTCTGTTGAATGTCTGTTTGAACGTGTGTTTGAACGGCTGTTGAACGTCTGTTGAACGTGTGTTGAACATCTGTTTGAACGTGTGTTGAACGTCTGTTTGAACGTCTGTGAAACGTCAGTTGAACGTCTGTTGAACGTCTGTTTGAACGTCTGTTTGAACGTCTGTTGAACGTGTGTTGAACGTCTGTTTAACGTCTGTTTAGCGTCTAAATTTCGATTTAAAGCTTTCGTGACTGCAATGATTCATCTTCTTTGGTTCTTTCGGTAAAGTCACGTAGAATGAGAATAAAATAATAAATTGATAAAATAAAATAACACAATAATATTCTCACGACGTTTCGGCCACAACACAAGCGGCCTTCATCAGGTGAAGGGAGCGAGACTGTCTGGTAGGACAGCGCTGGAGTGAGAGAGCCACGTTCAGATCACGGCTTTTAAGCCTCAAATTTCCGTACCACGGATAGCTACGGGCCCCGTTCAGACGGACGAGTTCGTCCATGGTCGGAACAGAGGAGGGGGAGAGAGACAGCTGCGAAGCCCTAGTATACTCCATGTTGAAGAGAAACAACAAAATAACAAAATATATATAAAACAATAAAAAATTCTCACGACGTTTCGACCATAACTCAAACGGTCATCATCAGGTGTGTCGGTTTGCATAAATTTATTTTGAAAACGGCATATTTATTTATATATATAAAAAAATAACGTTTGCGTCACGCGCAACGATTGGCAGTTTGCCCAGGACTAGTCCATCTATTTTTTGAAAAGAGGAGGGGGGAGACGAAATTTGTCTCTGTGCTTGTATATGTGAATGGCCTCATGAACGAATCTCTCATGGTAGCCAGTTGGTTTGCAAAGAACCTCCGTCTTGGAGAAGTCAATGTCATGTGAGCCCACTGAATTGTAACAGTGATCTGCCACGGCAGAGGAGTTCGTCTTACCGTGTTTCAAGTCTGCTTTATGTTCGCGGATGCGGTCCGAGATATGTCTTTTGGTTTCTCCAATGTAGCTACTACCACAGAGGCACTTTAGTTTGTAAACGCCCGGGTACTGTATGTCTGGAAGAGCATCTTTTACAGATGGAACTAAATCACGGATTTTGTGTACTGTGTTGAATCGGACCTGGATCTTGTGTTTATTCAGGATTTTGGAGATCTTTTTAGTGACCCCTGCAATGTAGGGTAAGGTGATGGTTTTGAGTGGCTCCACAAGAGGATCCTTCTTCATGACTGGAGTGATGGCTTTGCGGATTGTGTAGTCGGAGTAGCCATTAGCCCTGAGAGCCTGGTGTACGTGCTTGAGTTCACTGGTAATGTGTTCCTGGTCGGAAATGCATTGGGCTCTATGGTATAGAGTCTTGATGAGGCAGTTCTTCTGGGATGGATGGTGGTGGGAATCCGGTTTCAAGTAAGCATCTGTATGGGTAGCTTTCCTGTAGACAGAGTGGCTCATTGAACCATCATGTCTCCTTTTAATTAAGACATCCAATTTCAACCGAGAAGATGGATTCAGGCTTAGTAACCACTGGAAAGATGTGTTAAATCATTTCTGTTCTTAATTAATTGTAATTTTACGATGACCTTCAGACCGCAGCTCTTTCGCCAGCATTGCCTCTTAATACCTCTCACACCACGGTTAATGGTATGGTTTACAACATGGAGTATACTAGGGCTTCGCAGCTGTCTCTCTCCCCCTCCTCTGTTCCGACCATGGACGAACTCGTCCGTCTGAACGGGGCCCGTAGCTATCCGTGGTACGGAAATTTGAGGCTTAAAAGCCGTGATCTGAACGTGGCTCTCTCACTCCAGCGCTGTCCTACCAGACAGTCTCGCTCCCTTCACCTGATGAAGGCCGCTTGTGTTGTGGCCGAAACGTCGTGAGAATATTATTGTGTTATTTTATTTTATCAATTTATTATTTTATTCTCATTCTACGTGACTTTACCGAAAGAACCAAAGAAGATGTTTAGCGTCTGTTTGAACGTCTGTTGAACGTGTGTTGAACGTGTGTTGAACGTGTGTTTGAACGTGTGTTGAACGTCTGTTGAACGTCTGTTGAACGTCTCAGGGTGGTGAGAGGAGACGGGGAGATTCTGGAGGAGATTGTGAGCAGAAAGAAACACCACGACATTCATAAGGTGAGGCTCACTGAGCCACACTGAGGCTCACTCCCATAGGCTTCAGTGTTAATCACTGAGACTCCCATAGCGTTCACTGTTAATCACTGAGACTCCCATAGTGTTCAGTGTTAATCACTGAGACTCCCATAGGGTTCAGTGTTAATCACTGAGACTCCCATAGGGTTCAGTGTTAATCACTGAGACTCCCATAGGGTTCAGTGTTAATCACTGAGACTCCCATAGCGTTCAGTGTTAATCACTGAGACTCCCATAGGGTTCAGTGTTAATCACTGAGACTCCCATAGGGTTCAGTGTTAATCACTGAGACTCCCATAGGGTTCAGTGTTAATCACCGAGACTCCCATAGGGTTCCGTGTTAATCACTGAGACTCCCACAGGGTTCAGTGTTAATCACTGAAACTCACATAGGGTTCAATGTTAATCACCGAGACTCCCATAGGGTTCAATGTTAATCACCGAGACTCCCATAGGGTTCAGTGTTAATCGCTGAGACTCCCATAGGGTTCAGTGTTAATCACTGAGACTCCCACAGGGTTCAGTGTTAATCACTGAGACTCCCATAGCATTCAGTGTTAATCACTGAGACTCCCATAGGGTTCAGTGTTAATCACCGAGACTCCCATAGGGTTCAGTGTTAATCACTGAGACTCCCATAGGGTTCAGTGTTAATCACCGAGACTCCCATAGGGTTCAGTGTTAATCACTGAGACTCCCATAGGGTTGAGTGTTAATCACTGAGTCTCCCATAGGGTTCAGTGTTAATCACTGAGACTCCCATAGGGTTCAGTGTTAATCACTGAGACTCCCCTAGGGTTCAGTGTTAATCACTGAGACTCCCATAGGGTTCAGTGTTAATCACCGAGACTCCCATAGGGTTCAGTGTTAATCACTGAGACTCCCATAGGGTTCAATGTTAATCACCGAGACTCCCATAGGGTTCAATGTTAATCACCGAGACTCCCATAGGGTTCAGTGTTAATCACCGAGACTCCCATAGGGTTCAGTGTTAATCACCGAGACTCCCATAGGGTTCAGTGTTAATCACCGAGACTCCCATAGGGTTCAGTGTTAATCACCGAGACTCCCATAGGGTTGAGTGTTAATCACTGAGACTCCCATAGGGTTCAGTGTTAATCACTGAGACTCCCATAGCGTTCAGTGTTAATCACTGAGACTCCCATAGGGTTCAGTGTTAATCACCGAGACTCCCATAGGGTTCAGTGTTAATCACCGAGACTCCCATAGGGTTCAGTGTTAATCACCGAGACTCCCATAGGGTTCAGTGTTAATCACTGAGACTCCCATAGCGTTCAGTGTTAATCACTGAGACTCCCACAGGGTTCAGTGTTAATCACTGAGACTCCCATAGGGTTCAGTGTTAATCACTGAGACTCCCATAGGGTTCAGTGTTAATCACTGAGTCTCCCACAGGGTTCAGTGTTAATCACTGAGACTCCCATAGGGTTCAGTGTTAATCACTGAGACTCCCATAGGGTTCAGTGTTAATCACTGAGACTCCCATAGGGTTCAGTGTTAATCACTGAGACTCCCATAGGGTTCAGTGTTAATCACTGAGACTCCCATAGGGTTCAGTGTTAATCACTGAGACTCCCATAGGGTTCAGTGTTCATCACTGAGACTCCCATAGGGTTCAGTGTTAATCACTGAGACTCCCATAGGGTTCAGTGTTAATCACTGAGACTCCCATAGGGTTCAGTGTTAATCACTGAGACTCCCATAGGGTTCAGTGTTAATCACTGAGACTCCCATAGGGTTGTGTTAATCACTGAGACTCCCATAGGGTTAGTGTTAATCACTGAGACTCCCATACGGTTCAGTGTTAATCACCGAGACTCCCATAGGGTTCAGTGTTAATCACTGAGACTCCCATAGGGTTCAGTGTTAATCACCGAGACTCCCATAGGGTTCAGTGTTAATCACCGAGACTCCCATATGGTTCAGTGTTAATCACTGAGACTCCCACAGGGTTCAGTGTTAATCACTGAGACTCCCATATGGTTCAGTGTTAATCACTGAGACTCCCATAGGGTTCAGTGTTAATCACTGAGTCTCTCTCCCTGTGCGGTGCTGATGTTACAGATGGCTACGAAGAGGGATGGAGAGGCTTTCCAGGCTAAACAGGGGCTCAGCAGGCGGTGATGAAGACACGGGGAGACACGGGGAGACACCCACTCACTCACTCACCCACTCACCAACCCACTCACACACTGACCCACTCACCCATTCACCGACCCACTCACCAACTCACCGACCCACTCACCAACTCACCCATCCACTCACCAACTCACCCATCCACTCACTCACCCACTCACCGACCAACTCACCAACTGACCCACCCACTCACCAACTCACCCACCCACTCACCCATCCACTCACTCACTCACCCACTCAGCAACTCACCCATCCACTCATCCACTCACCCACACACTCACCCACCTACTCACCGACCCACTCACTCACTCACCAACCCACTCACTCACTCACACACACACTCACTCACCCACTCACCTACCCACTCACTCACCCACTCACTCACTCACACGCCCACCCACTCACTCACCGACCCACTCACTCACTCACACACTCATAAACACACTCACTCACACACTCACCCACTCACACACTCACCCACTCACCCACTCACTCACTCACACACTCACTCACACACTCACTCACTCACCTACTCACACTCACTTACACACTCACCTACCCACTCACTCACTCACCCACTCACTCACACACCCACCCACTCACTCACCGACCCACTCACTCACACACACACTCACTCACTCGCACACTCACACACTCACTCACCCACTCACTCACACACACCCACCCACTCACCCACCCACACGTGTAAGAGAGACAGAGACTCGGACGCGGATGTGCCAGTCTCTGCGTTTTATTTGGTGGTGGTGGCAGTAGCGGTGGTGGTGGTAGTGGTGGTGAGTGTCTGTGTGAGTCTGAATGTCTGTGTGTGTGTCTGTGTGAGTGTATCTGTCTGTGTGTGTCTGAATGTCTGTGTGTCTGAATGTGTGTGTCTTTGTGTGTCTGTGTGCGTGAATGTATGTCTGTCTGTGCGAGTGTCTGTGTGTGCGTCTGTGTGTTTGCCTGTGTGAGTGAATGTATGTGTCTGTGCGAGTGTCTGTGTGTGTGTGTCTGTGTGTTTGTTTGCCTGTGTGAGTGAATGTATGTGTCTGTGAGTCTGAATGTGTGTGTGGGTGTCTGTGTGTCTTTGTGTGTCTGTGTACGTGAATGTATGTCTGTCTGTGCGAGTGTCTGTGTGTTTGCCTGTGTGAGTGAATGTGTGTTTGTCTGAGTGTCTGTGTGTGTCTGTGTGAGTGAATGTATGTCTGTCTGTGCGAGTGTCTGTGTTTGCCTGTGTGAGTGAATGTATGTGTGTCTGTGTGAGTCTGAATGTGTGTGTGTGTCTTTGTGTCTGTGTGAGTGAATGTATGTGTGTCTGTGTGAGTCTGAATGTGTGTGTGTGAGTGTCTGTGTGTGTCTTTGTGTGTCTGTGTGAGTGAATGTATGCCTGTCTGTGCGAGTGTCTGTGTGTTTGCCTGTGTGAGTGAATGTATGTGTGTCTGTGTGAGTCTGAATGTGTGTGTGTCTGTGTGTCTTTGTGTCTGTGTGAGTGAATGTATGTGTGTCTGTGTGAGTCTGAATGTGTGTGTGTCTGTGTGTCTTTGTGTGTCTGTGTGAGTGAATGTATGTCTGTGCGAGTGTGTGTGTGTCTGTGTGAGTGAATGTATGTGTCTGTGTGAGTGTGTGTCTGTGTGTCTGTGTGTGGGGAGCGGTGGGTGTAGTGGTTAGCGCTACGCTGCGCTACGAACCTGGCGACCCGACTTCAATTCCCGCTCACAGCCAACACCACCAGCGACGATTATCTGAACCGGTCCTGAGCCTTCCCTAGGTCGACTCAGCCTCAAATGATTACCTGGTGTAGCGGTGTGTAGTGAACATCGCCACTGGGGGAGAGACAAAGGCGGCCGGGCGAGGTGACGTGTGCCACAGTGCCGGTAGCCTTCAGAGGCGCTGCTGCCACTACTCGCCAGCTCAGCACTTGCCCCTGCAGCCCTGCTAGAGGCTACCTGGGGGAGCTTCGTCTTTGTGTGGGTAGCGGTCCGTTCGTGTTTGTAATTAAAACTCGGGACGTTGGAAACAAGCCGTGGCTCAACTGCTCCGATGCTGTGATGGGTGGGTGGTGAGTGGCTGGGTGGGTGAGTGAGTGAGTGGTGTGTGAGTGTGTAAGTGTGTGAATGTGTGAGTGAGTGCATGATGAGTGTGTGACTGAGTGTATGAGTGTGTAAGTGAGTGTGTGTGAGTGAATGAGTGTGAATGAGTGAGTGTGTGTGAGTGAGTGTGTGTGTGAGTGTATGATGAGTGTGTGAGTGAGTGGGTGTGTATGATGAGTGAGTGAGTGTGTGAATGAGTGTGTGAGTGAGTGACAATGGTCGTGGTGGAGTCCCAGCACTGCGGCCTGGTGCCCCGTGGAGCCTCGGGCTCGCCTGGGTCAGTGGCGGGGCTCAGCTCACCCGGAGTTGCATTGAAAAGATTTGATAAACCATTTGGTGTCTTAATTGATTGTTCACGCCTACGGTGGCTTTCAGGCAGCATACATTAATTTTTCGTCTCCCCCCTCTTAGAACATAGATGGACTCGTCCTAAATAAACTGCCAAATCGCTGCGCGTGGCGCTGACGTTTTTATAAATAAATACACCGTTTAAAAATAAATAAATTAATGCTGACCGACACATCTGATGACGACCGTTTGTGTTATGGTCGAAACGTGAGAATTGTTTTACATGTATTTTATTATTTTATTGTTTCCCTTCAACGTGACTTTACCGAAAGAGCCAAGAATATAAGAATGTATAACGTTTAAAAAATTAACTTTTGTGCGTGGCGAGAATCGCTATCTGGTGAGCGATTTGTGGTATCGATTAAACGGGAATAGACAGATTCTAAAGAAATCGACGACATTCGATTCCTCTGCGCGATTTAAAGAATCGAATCCTGGCGCGCGAGCGTCAGTTATTTTTTTCTACCCCACCGCGCGTTGTGTTTTATTTTAATTTTTTTTTATTAACGAGCTAATTATCAAAGTTTTTTTTCCTATTTGTATATGTTATGTTTTTAAGTTTTGAGAAGTTTTTAAAGATATTTTTTTTTCCCCTTCGGGCAATGCCGGGCGCTTCCCGCTCGTACCTAATAAATGAAACGTGAACTTGAAACACAAAATTCGCATAAGCCACTCCCCACCTCTCATTAACATAACCACGCCTAGTGGAAACCCGCATAGCCACGCCCACACATCTCATTAACATAACCACGCCCTCACCACTGGAATTTCGCAGCAACTCTCATTAACATAACCACGCCCTCAAGTTGCAACTTAGCATAGACACTCCCACCAGAGGCAGACCTCATTAACATAGCCACGCCCCACCAGCGAGAGTGATTAAAAGGACTTTAATTGCAAAAAAAAAGACTTCCCAGCTCAATGATAAGAAACCCCGTTGCATTGTGGGTGAACTCCGTGTGTTAATGACAACAGCAAAACCGTTAACCACCACCAACAACAACCACCACCATCTCCTCCACTACCACCACCACCATCTCCTCCACTACCACCACCACCACCATCTCCTCCACTACCACCACCACCACCATCTCCTCCACTACCACCACCACCATCATCATCTCCTCCACCAGCAACAACCACCACCACCATCTCCTCCACTACCACACCCACCAACCACCATCTCCTCCACCAGCAACAACCACCACCACCAACAACAACCACCATCTCCTCTACCAGCAACAACCACCACCACCATCTCCTCCACTACCACCACCATCTCCTCCACTACCACCACCACCACCACCATCTCCTCCACCACCACCACCAACAACCACCATCTCCTCTACCAGCAACAACCACCACCACCATCTCCTCCACTACCACCACCAGCAGCAACAACCACCACCACCATCTCCACTACCACCAGCAACAGCCACCACCACCACCATTTCCACCAGCAATAACCACCACCATCTCCACTACCACCAGCAACAGCCACCACCACCATCTCCTCCACTTCTACCACCAGCAACAACCACCACCACCATCTCCACCAGCAAGCCACCACCACCATCTCCTCCACTTCTACCACCAGCAACAACCAACACCACCACCACCATCTCCACCAGCAACAACCACCATCTCCTCCACTACCACCACCAGCAGCAACAACAAACACCACCATCACCAATACCACCATCAGCAACAGCCACCACCACCATCTCCTCCACTTCTACCACCAGCAACAATCACCACCACCATCTCCACTACCACCACCATCACCAATACCACCATCAGCAACAACCACCACCACCATCTCCTCCACTACCATTACCACCATCAGCAACAACCACCACCACCACCTCCTCCACTACCACCACCATCACCACCAATACCAGCAACAGCCACCACCACCATCTCCTCCACTTCTACCACCAGCAACAACCACCACCACCATCTTCTCCACTACCACCACAACCACCACCACCACCACCATCTCCTCCACTACCACCATCACCAACATCATCACCGCCACATCCAGCAGTGGAGAGACCATGGCTGCTGCTGATGATGCAGAGAGAGATGGTGATAATGGTGATGGAGAGAGAGAGAATGATGATGGTGACAATGGTGATGATGATGGAGAGAGAATAATGGTGATGTTGACAATGGTGATGGTGAGAGAGAATGATGGCGATGATGATGGAGAGAGAGAGAATTATGGTGATGAGGATGAGGAAGGTGAGTATGGGGAGTGTATGGGGGGATGTGTGAGTAGTGGTCTCTATGGGGGTGTGTGTGTGTGGGTCACTGTGATTGTGTGGGTGTGTCTCTGTGTGTTGGGTGTGTCTGTGTGTTGTGTGTGGTGTGATGTGTACGTGATGTGTGTGTGTTGTGTACGTGATGTGTACGTGGTGTGTGGTGGTTGTGTGTGCTGTGGATATGTGGTGTCTGTCTGTGTGTGTAGTGTGTGGTGCGCGTGTGGTGTGTGTGGTGGTTGTGTGTTGTGTGTGCTGTGGATATGTGGTGTCTGTGTGTTGTGTGTGTGGTGTGTGGATTGTGTATGTGGTGTGTTGTGTGTGTGGTGTGCGTTTTGTGCGCGTGTGGTGTGTTGTGGATATGCGGTGTCTGTGTGTTGTGTGTGGTGTGTGCATGTGGTGTGTGTGGTGTGTTGTGTGCTGTGGATATGCGGTGTCTGTGTGTGGTGTGTTGTGCGTGTGTGGTGTGCATGTGGTGTGTGTGCTGTGGATATGCGGTGTCTGTGTTGTGTGTGGTGTGCGTGTGGTGTGCGTGTTGTGCACGCGTGGTGTGTTGTGTGCTGTGGATGTGGTGTTGTGTGTGTGGTGTCTCTGTGTGTTGTGTGTGTGGTGTCTCTGTGTCTGTGTTTTGTGTGTGGTGTCTCTGTGTGTGGTGTCTCTGCGTCTCTTTGTGTCTGTGGAGCCCCAATGCGGTTTCAGCAGAGGTGTAGGGAATTCCAACAAGACCTACATCTCTGCTTTATTGACCTGGTCAAGGCCAATGATACCATCAGTAGGCCTGGGCTCTGGGTTGTTCTTCGTGCTTTTGGAGTCCCTGACCCTCTGCTCACGATCATTAAGGACCTTCATGATGGTGAGCGGGCCCGGGTAAAACTACGTGGCCGGGAGTCAGAGCCATTCCCTGTACACCTTGAGGTGCGACAGGGATGTCCTCTGGCTCCCACATTATTTAACATCTATTTTGACCACGTAGTTCGTGAAGCCTTCAATAGCTGTACCGGGGGAATCTCCATTCGGTACAGATATAATGGGAGGCTGATCGATGCCCGGGTGCGGTC